CCCCCCCCCCCTTCCCGCTCTCGCCCTGCCCACATCCCACCCGAAAAAAATATACATATACCACTCCTACCACCTTCTCCTGCCCATGCAGCCTGTCCTCCCGACACGCTGGCTACCGGCATGTGAATGGGCAAATACGGGCGTGTATTCTCCCCGGAGCTCGATCCGCAGGAGAAAGGAAGGGCAAGAAGGAAGGCACGAGGGCGAGAGGAAGTGGAGAGAAACTCACATGACGCGCGCCTGCGCATGGGTCTCACTGGGCCGCGGCTTGGGCACGCATCTCGCGGCGCCGGCGCCGCGCCTCGGTGATGCCCTGGTCACTGAGGAAGTAATACAGCAGCGGTAGCTGGCCTTGGTTCCACTTGTCGACGAAGACTCGGAATAGGGCCTGCGAGTGGCCGGCCGGCAGGTCATAAAAGTAGATGCCGCCCAGCTGGCCATCTGGGTTGTGCGGGTCTCGAGTGTCGGTGTGCCGGGCAAAAGGCTTGAGCGACTCGAGCCCAGCCAGTCGGGCATCCCGCTCGGGGTGACAATCGCGCATCATCCAGACCGGCAGCAGGGTTCGGCTCAAGGCATTGTAGTCCCGCTCCGGGTCCAGCTTTACCCGGCTGTCAAGGGTGGTTGCATTGATGTGGCCCTCGGCCATGTCCTGGTCTTTGAGAGGGGGGCAGAGGGGGGCAGAGGGGGGCAGAGGGGGGCAGAGGGGGGCGAGAGGGAGTAAGAGGGATGGAGGGAGAGCGCGCGCGCGCGCGTGTGTGTGTGTGTGTGTGCGAGAACCGACGCAAGAGGGGGAGCAACAGGAAGCGAGGCAACTCAGGACACAGGGCTCATGTACTTTCGACAAAACGAACAGCGAGATCGACCGGGTCGGTGGCCGGGAGCCGATCCGAGCCAGATGACGATCGCCGGCGGCGCGAGCGACTGCTGCTGCGCCGACGCCGGCGCCGGTCGCGTCGCCTCGAAGACCGGGATCGAGATCGCGACCGAGACCTGTCGCCCGAGCGAGATCTCGATCGGGAGGAGGAGCAAGAGTCCAGGTCGCTGTCGGGGCTGGGACTACGCCTGGAGCGCCGGCGGGAGCGCCGGCCTTCGCCACGGTCGGGAGACCGGACATCACGACGGCCGGAGGGCCGAGCGTCCTCGCGACTGGAGGGCTCGCGCTGTGATGACATCAGGGCTCGGATGAATGCGTATCTGTTCGTCTGGGGGGAGGTGTCTGTTGTGTGGAGATACGACCGAGAGTCGGGAGGGGGGAGAGAGAGAGAGAGAGAGAGGTGGGAGATGGAGATGCGAGCGTGAATGCGAGTGCAAGTGCGGCAGCAGGCACGAGCAGGGCGAAGGAGCGCCAAGAGCCGAGGAGTCTTAGTGGAACAGGAAAAGATGGGGCCCAAGAGGGAGGAAGTGGCCGGGAGGGGATGGGCGGCTTTCCGGCGGGCTTTCGGCGGGGGTGCCGGATCGGCCGGCCAAAAGTAGATGGACCGCAAGTGCAGAAGCAAACGACTGGTCACGCCGGGGTCACGCCTGGCACCACAGGATCACGTCGCCGATAGCCGCCATTTTCGCCATCCCCATTGTTTTGGAATTTACAGGCCCTGTGCGTGTCGGTAGGCCGCTCGGTTGGGGCCTCGACATGAGCTCGCGAGCCACACGCACTCGCATACACATATACAGGCACACCCGCATAGATACATACACACATCCATGCACATGCACATGCACATGCACACGCACCCCCCTCCCCCTCTCCATTCCCCCTCCTTTCTTCCCTCTGCCCCGTCCTCAGTCCCACACTCACCATGTCGTTCGGTGATCTCGAACGCGGGGACAGCCCCGGCGGCTGGAACTGTACGCTTGCCTGTCTCGTCTCGCCTCGCCCTGCCCCGCCTCGCACCAATCGCCCCCGTTTTCCCCTCTGCCCACGACTCACCTCGCGCATTTGGTGCCCTCTCCAGCCAACCTGGATTCGCAGTACCTGCGGCTGGTCGATCGCGTGGCCAAGGCCATCAGCGACATGGGATCCAGCATTTCCAGCATCCAGCATCAGGCCCAGTCCATAGGCTCCCAGCATGATACCCAGGAGTTCCGCAACAACCTGTATGTCCCCCTTCTCCGCCTTTCCTCTTGCAGATCGCACGGCGCGCCCGGCACTCTCGCCCCTCCCGTCCTCTCGAAAAAAAGTGCCACCGCCTTCTGACCCGGCTTCTCGCCTCCTCAGGAACAACCTCGTGGCCAAGACCACCACCCAGACGGCCAACACCAAGAAGCTCCTGCAGGAGCTCAGTGCTGTCCCCTCTACCTCGCTCAGCCCGGATGAGTCGGTGCGCAGATATGCCCCCCACACCCGGCTATTCGCCGGCTTTCCTCCTGTCCGGCGCCTCTGCCACCGACTTACTCTTCCCCTCTTCTCCTCTGTCTCTCTTTCTCCCTCCTCCCTTTCTTTCTCCGCCTCCCCCTCTCTCCGTCTCGGCTCTCCCCTTCACAGCGTCAGCGCACCCTTCAATTCCAGAAGCTGCACGATGCGTTCCAGGCATCGGTCCGCCGACTGAACGAGACTCAAACCATGGTGGCCACGCGCATGCGCGAGCAGGTGAAGATCGTGCGCACCACCCACGCCATGGGCGGCCCCTCGACCGACGAGTTCACCGAGTCCAGTGCCCTGATGTCTCAGCAGCAGTTGGAGTGCGTCACACCCGACAGGGGGGGGGGGGGGGGGAAGACAGGCAGCGGCCCCCCCGGTTGCCCCGCCCCTCCGCCACCTTTCCGCCATCATGGCTCGCCGCCCTCCAACAAACGGCTCTAACCCGATTGCTTGATGTCCCGCTCCTCCCAGGCAGGCTGCCGTTCTGGACAACGATATCACCCACCATGAGGAGAGCATTCGCGAGCGCCAGACCGCAATCGAAGACATTGAGGCCAACATCCGCGCTGTCAATGACATCTTCCGCGACCTCAACCAGCTGGTCCAGGACCAGGGCGAGACCATCGGTGCGTGCCTGTGCCTCCTCGCGCCTCTCTTGGTGCCCCCGCCCCTGTTGCCCGCCTCTGACCGCTGTTCCCCCTCCCCCCCCCCTCCCCCGCGTCCTTCCTCTGTTCCTGTGTCCACTTGCCCCTGTCGAACTCGATGGTATTAGACACCATCGAGACCAACATCGTCCGTGTGGAGGAGAACGCTAGCGCCGGCCGCGTGGAGATCAGCCAGGCCAATTCTTACCAGGTGCGCTTCTGGCGTCCTGCTTTTGCCCAGCGCCATCCCCCTCCCCTCCCCCCCCCCGCCCCCCCGAGGCCCTTGCCTTTCTCACCCTCCTCTCGACCCTCCTCTCGACCCTCCTCTCGACCCTCTTCTGCGCATGCGCACTCAATGATAGAAATCGTCCCGGAATAAGCTTTGCATCATTCTCGGCATCTTTGTCATTGTTCTTGTCGTTCTCGTTCTGGTCGCTGTCTTCACTTGAGTGTGCCGTGATGCGCTCCTTCCTCCCTGTGAGGGGGGCGGGGAGCGGGTGCCCCCTTTTTCTTACACACGAGCTCTCGCATACGCGACCGCACTCGGCCGCGTCCTCCCCCC